GCTGGCTGCCCCCATCCCCGTGTGTCACAAGGATCTATACACACGGAATCTAACGGGAAGGGGGAGCTGGTCTCATTGCGAGCGTCTCTCACACGCAGATATGGTACAAAGATATGGCAACGACGACCAGTTATGGTAGCAGAGCGAAATGAAATGAAATGATCTGCCCGCAGGAAAACGATGAGGACACAACCACGAAGTCCACTGGCATAAGGAACACGTGGCATGCGTGCAAGAACTAGAAAGCGTTGAGGACAACCAAAATGGAGATGGCGGCGACGAGCACATGGAGATGCAGATGATTGAAGACGAAGATAACAGACGAAGATGACAAGTAAAACAATGGCGATGATGATGCATCATCATCATCATCATCATCATCATCATCACATCATAATGACGAGGATGAGGATGAGGATGAGGATCAGGATCAGGACGATGGCCCAATGAGATAGAACGACAACGACAAACAACGACGACAGCAATGATAATCACGGAGATCATGATTGAAGATAAAATGGTGATAACGTTTAGAGATCATAATAATAACACAATGATGATGATGATGATGATGATGATGATGATGATGATGATGATGATGATACAAACTCAACCAAAGAGTCTGACCTTCTAGCAACGTTATGATGATAATGAGGATGATATCATGATAGTCATGATGATGATGAGGACGAGGATGAGGATGAGGACGATGATGATGATGATGATGATGATGATGATGATGGTACTAACCAGATGGGAAGAGGAATTGCTTGCTTGCTTGCTTGCTTGCCTCCATGAGGCGCGCAAGCAACCCCGCTTCTCATCTGGTTAGTGAAACGCCATGATTCATGTAATCACGTTTTTTTTGTGTGTGTGTGTTTCAAACATCACATGGTTTACTACTACAGTAATAATCATCAACTATTCCGTTGTAATACTGCAGTACGTAATGATTACCGTCTACGGCCGAATACAACGCTCGAGTATACCGTTGGCCCAAATACAGCTGCTGTAGCTGTACTGACCGGGTGTGTTCTATTCGGGTGAAGACGGGTAGGCGTTCGGGGCGGGAAGCTCAGGGACCGGTCGGAAGAGAAAGGACAAACGGTGGGAGAAACGGCGCTTCGTATAGCGCAAACGTTAGGCAGCCTAACGGAGGGAGAAACGGCGCGCTTCGTATAGCGCAAACGAAGTCCTTCGGGACATCCGTTAAAATTGGAACGGTACAGAGAAAGAGAAGATTAGCATGCCCCCTGCGCAAGGATGACACGCATAAATCGAGAAATGGTCCAAATTAAAATAAAATAAAATAAAATAAAATAAAATAAAATAAAAAACGCGACAGTCTGACGGAGGGAGAAACGGCGCGCTCCGTAGCGCAGACGACTGTCTTAGCATATGAATATAACCCGGAGTCAGGCGGTCGGTCGACAGCCGCCTGTCGTGATGCATTTGACTGGCGGAGCCGCGCTGAGTGAGAGTCACAAGCAGGATCTGACAGAGCTACGCTACGACACTAAGGGTATACTCAAACTCAGGACTTTTCGACTGGTCTCTGGAGGCAATGGTGATCAGGTACATCGAGGTCGTGCTGGAAGTACGGTCAGATACATCCAAAAAAGAGGTCCCAGTGCGGGTCGAGGATGTCGTGAAGCGGGCTAGCTTTTTTTCCTGCCCTCCACCCCATGCTATATATATATATATATATATAGGGCCAGCACTCCACTGTTAAATGGACCATGTACATTCCTTGTGATGAAAGAAGATATTGAATGTATCAGGACCTTAACCAGCTATAGATACATGTAGAATAGTGTGTGCAGTGGAGCGAGACCCATAATTCGAGCAAGTCAGGAATTGACACGCAGCAAAGAAGACGAAGACCATGCATGCAGACTGCGGATTCCCCCTGGCAGCGCACCCGCCGAGGTGCGCAATCAGCCAGACAATGCGCCCGTCGTCCGCGGGGGCGTGGAAGAGAGGGGGGGGGGAAGAGAATACGCCTAAAAGAGCACGATCGCGCGGGGCGAGATCGAGCGTAAGGGGGCGGTCACACAAACGATAGTGGGCCTCGCTCCCCTACTCACTAATGGAGCAAGACGAGAACGTATCTTCCGCTAAAACATGGGAAGATACACCGCCATCCTCGTCTTTTGTGCATGTGAGAAAAGGGAACAAACAGATGACAGAGCGACAGAAAGCCATCGAGCGAAAAAGAGGAAGGGTCCTTCGGGACATCCATCCGACAAAATTGGAACGATACACAGAGAGAGAGAGAGAGAGAGAGAGAGAGAGAATAGCATGGGAAACAAAAAAGAGGAAGAAGCGCAAAGGGTAGAATAATCGCAGAAGAAAGAACATGCTGTTTTCTGGATGCATGCATGGACACATCATGTGCGTGCTGATCAGCCAAGGATTGGAACCCAAGGGGGGAGGGAGGTGGAAGAAGAGGAGGGGAGGGAGAAAAGGAACGAAGAGGCTCGAAAACGAGAGAGAGGAGAGGACAAACTCGTGAAAAGCCATCCACTCTCTCTCTCGACAACAGACAGCGCGGGGGAGGACCAGCAGAGGGCATGCGATCTCCTACCCCGAGAGAAATTGAAGAAGGGGGGACTGAATCGCAGCAGCACAAGGTGCGGATCCAAAAAAAGGTATAGGCGATGGCTGCAGATGTGGAAGCGGTAGGAATTCGTCTGACGCGTGGAGAAGAGACACGTGCATGCATGCAGGCTCGGGCGTACACCACGCACACCACAAACAACACGTAAAACGAATCCAACGGAGGTGGTAGGGAAAAGGGCGTGTCGAGCGGAAGCAGGTGATGCGTTTGCTTGTTACGTAGAGAGAGAGAGAGAGAGAGAGAGAGAGAGAGAGAGAGAGAGAGAGAGAGAGAGAGAGAGAGAGAGAGGGAGAGGGAGAGAGAGAG